AAAAGTCTTGACAGCAGGATCACCGGGGGAACATGCTCTACAAGATGTAACAGGTTTCATTCTGATTGGTCAAGCCATCTCGGCGTAATCGGTGAACAGACATAAAAATATATATATATATCGAATTGAGTAACCTCCTCTTTGTCGAAGACGGTTAAAAAGCTTCAAGCTCGATATTGCCTACTCCAATAGCTTCCAATTCAGTTGCATCACCAATGGCAACCATACATGGCTGTTCCAATTTTACATAATTTGTAAACCAACTTACATTGTCCCAGGCAGTTCTGAAGTGATGTAGTCTAGAAGGCAGCACTCCTAAGATTCTCTGCATAATCCAGGACTCCTTGACAGTTTTACCTTCAGCAGACAGACTATCAGCATACTCTTGTATTTGCAGACAATTTTCTATACCTGTCTGTCAGAATCATGACTTTGTCCTTCGACGTTTCTGGGGTAAGTACTGTGCTGTTCCTCACAGTCCTCTTACCAAAAGCCTTCCCCACTCCGTGGCCAGATTCTCTAGGACAACGTCTTTATTCTTTTAGGCAATGCACCGTCGGGTTGCTTGCCAATTGACACATCCGTTAGTAATAAATAAACGTACCTTCGTCACTCGGTGCCTACGTGACCGAGACATCATCCCTCGCTGGTCGACTGCTCATGGAGGCCGCCTGACTTTCGTCTAGAGTCCGTTCGTCCTGACCCTGCCATAAAACAGTCACACTCCAAAATGCGACGAACTATTTACTGTAAACGATTCTTAAAAGACGTTGACGCTGACACGGCCAACCTGACATGCTTCACGCTCTCGGGAAGCATCTATTCTCAATTATTCTTAACGTCATACTCAGTACAATGCTCTATCATAACTAATTCGCACCGACATATCTAATGGCGTGTCTAACATTCTATGTCGTATCACAGATTTCGTTGACAATACTGGATTACAAAATGAAAATATGTATCTAAACGCAAAAATAAAACTTTTTTGTTGAACTAAACCTATTACCTTATTTTGGTTTAAATCGTACTTTTTTTTTTTTTTAAATATCTTATCAAGTGCAACAACCTATTCTGTCTAATTCTTATTCTATAATCACATTAAACTTGTTTCATACGTTTGTACTTTATTTGTGGTCGTAAAGAGTCAAAGTTTATATTTCTATTCTATATTATACTCATATTTATCTATTAATTTCATATCACCTTGTTGTGATCAATCGTCCACTGCTTCCTTGGATGTGGTGCCATTGAACCTCGCCGGGCAATGGGTAAAATGCCTCTCCTGGGGTAGTGGCGTCAAACTTCTTATTAGAGCTTTGAGTTGCTCTTTCGTGATGGCCATGCTGCTTTGCTTTTTCGTAGTTGGTGGTATAATGACTCCTTATTTTCTCTGTTGTCGTGATGAAATCCTTGTCCTCGGGTCCCGCGTTGGGCGTCAATTTGTAACCTCCTTGGTGATGGATTGGGAACTTTAGGAACTTTATAGATAAAATTGATATTTGGATAAAATAACACTGTATATTCTAAATAAATACAAGATACAAATTACAAGAAGTGAGTAGCAAAACGCGGCGCGATAACTTTAGCGTAGTCCAGTTTTCCCGAGTACTCTTGGATCTAGCCCCGTCCACACATGGGAGCGAATAGCTAGAACCTTCAGAGCCGCTTCTTTCTAGTCTGTCCGCACAAGGGAGCAGTCTAGGTCAAACTTCGGTAATTCTTGGAATTCTGAAGGTTTGTCGTACCGCGCCCTTTTTATACCCGTTTTGGGCCTGGTCCCACGTGCTGTGATTGGAAGGGGTAGTCACGAGATAGCGGCGCGCGGCGGGGTCTACTCTGGCGACCTACCCCGGAACTACTTGAAGGGGTTTGTATTGTTTATTTTATTAAGAGATGTATAATAAAAGTATCAAGTTTCATCGGGTATATTGGTAATCAGATTATAACGGCTGACCCAGGGTCGAATCCAAATTGACATTCTTTTTTTTTTTATTTCAATTTTGTATGATGGAAATATATTTTTGTATGTATTATGTAATATATGTATACTGTATATTATACAGAGTGAGTCACGAGAAACAGAACATCTGAATATCTTTGTTGGATAAAGATATGAAATTTTATTACATGGGAGTTTGAATGTTTTCGAAGGACACTATAAGATTTTCGCACACTATAAGAAATAACATTTATTAATTAAAATTTAACATTATATGTCCCACATTAATATTTTGTTACAAATCCATTTTGTTTTATATGTCCTTATCGATTCGGCATATTAGAAATTATTTTTGTTAAATATTCTGTTGACATGGATGTCCATTCTTCTTGAAACCTAATTTTGAGTTTTTCTTTGGAACGAATGGGCGTCTTGTGAATCCGTTAAATCAACTCATTCCACAAGTTTTCTATGGGATTAAGGTCTGGTGATTGTGCAGGTGGATGAAGGACTTCGGGGCAACTATACAATACAAATTCTTATGTTTAGGGTCATTATCCTGGTAAAATTAAAAATCTTCAGTAATCCCCATTTTTTCTGCACTGTGTTTTAAGTTGTTTTTTAAAAGATTTGGTAATTATTTAGAAGTATGCCCTCTTCATCGATTTCGATGATCTTGAAATATGCTGTCAATGTCATCATTCTGAACAACTTTTCCCTATATATGTTACTGCTGCTCGGCTTTAGTTTCCGAGATATTTGCATATAAAGATCATACATTTACATATACGAACACACTATACATAGCATACAAAACCACACTACAACGGTTCAAACTTGTTCTGAGAGCTTGTATCATGCACGATCTTTATTTGTACAGTAAAAAAACTGGGGGCCCGGGTGCTCGCCCCCAAAGAGGAGCACTGCAGCGCACCACAGGTGCGTACACGGTTATCCTGAGGAATGTATATTGCTTTCAGGGGGGTCGAGAGGGCGCAGCCTCCCGTTCGGTAGGTGGTCTGGGGAGCGCAGCCCCACAGCAAGCGTACGGTTGCAAGCCGCATACTTTCAGCTGAAAAACCTTTTATAAAATTTAAAGAACATCCGTCTCAAAACTATGCGCTTGCTGGGGGGGCTGCGCCCAGCAAGCAATTTTTTTACTGCACGAGTAAAAATTGTGGTGTAAGTTATATATATATATATATAGGAAAACGGTAAAGTTTAACTGGAAAAGGGCCGTCTGTAACCAAAATAATTACCAACTTTTTTTGTTAATAACTTTTTAATAAGCAGTGAGCGACGGTTAAGTTATTAGAATAAGTTTCTCAGGAGGGTGCTCTTGACAACATATATCAAGGTGAAGGTCATATAGAGGCGGAGTCCTCTATTCGGCATATTTACCACTTTTGTGTAGTCATTAAGCAATTCTTGTTATTAGACTTATACATTAAATGTAAATAAAAGTTTAGAATTTCAAAAACTCAGTTTCAATTTGCAGATCTTGGGCCAATTTGTGGTTTGGTCGCTCCTTTTACAAGCGCCGGAATGTCAATCGGAATTTCCGGAAAGCAACTCGCATTAATTACGACAATGAGGCATCTTTTAAAGATGCACGCTTTAAAAATTTTATTTCATTCATTATAGAAAATCCACATTCGCAATTATAAGTTGAACCAAACATAAAACCAATCTTTAAGCTGAGGTCTAATAATTTTGGATATTTTTCACTTGAAAACAGTTTGTAAAGGTTCAATCTAGTTTCTTTTCTGCTTTGGGGAAACATACACTGACGGACAAAATTAAAGGGACTCTTTTTTAAAACGTCATATCTGTGGGAGTTTTCAACCGATTTTGAGTAGTTTTGAAGTGTCCTCTAAATGTGCGCAAAGTTGCATTGGCGAGGGTTGATACGAAGGGGTTAATTCAAAGAGGGGCATGTCGAAAAACGCCACTGCTGAAGAGGCAAGGGGTGACGGATGGGGTTGAAAAAATCAACGTTTTGAAAAAGTGTCCCTTTAATTTTGTCCGTCAGTGTATCTCCTTGCAAGTCACAGAGTTGAAGCCGATGTTCTATTTTTTGGTCTGCGATATTAATGTTCATCGGATTCATAAAAGTCATAATGTCACTTTTGAGTGAATCAAAATCTTGGAATCGTACTTCAAATTCATTTTTTATAACAATTAATATTGAAGCAAAGGAACTGAAATCTGCATTTGTGTATTCGTCTGTTAGATCTATTGTATGTAATTCTCTCGCGACGTGTGTTCCCTCAAGGTTCTGGGATAAGTACCATGGGGTCGATCATGATCCTCTTATCAGAAGATATGTCACCTTCCCCACTCCGTGGCCAGATCCTTCTAGAACACCCTTATCTCTTTACACGTGCCATGCAGCACCATGACGTCGGGTCATCGGTCACGGGACACAACTCTGTTGACTGCCGCCAAAAGAGGTGTATCGAGATCTTTATAGCTTTAACCATAACATCCGCGACTCTTAGAATTCGTTGCGCACCTAGTTATCGGTTACCATCGATCCTCAGCCGATGACAGACGTAGGTCTCCGTCGTCGGCATCTCGAGACCCCTGAAAAGTAAAGTTGACGTCCGAGGGTATGATGACCCTCACACGTGTATCACCCTTACATTCGTACTGACGCTAACACGTCTTTAAGTTCTTCGCAACTCGAGAAGTGATGTAATTGATTTCTTGAAATTTCTGTTATGAATAATTGAAGTTTAATGTTAAATCCGCCAATATGACTAATTAAGTCAGATATTAATTGTTTTTTTTTCTGTAATTTCAGATTTAATGTGTTTAGGTGATAAGTAGTATTTGTTAAAAACACAAGTTCGGACAAAAACAAAATATCTTTGAATTTATTCTGCATTAGTACGGAATCTTTTACTTCATTTACTAAGAAAACAGAGATTTCTTCTCTAAGTGCGAAGAACCTTTCTAATGTTTTTTCTGCATTTAGCCATCGTACTTCCGAGTGTAGGGCAATATCATTATAAACGGCGTTTACTTCGTCTAGAAATGGTGGTGGTTGAGCGATTTATTTCCACTCCTTATCATCAGCGCCGTCACCGAGCGCTGCGATCCCACACGGCACTTTCTCACTACCGAAAGTGGGGAGCACCGTGCACACATGTATACCGAGTTGCGCTGCTCAACAAGGCAAAACGCCTGGGCGAGCGCTACCGTGTAACAGCTAAAAGCAAATATAAATACTATTTCGCCGCTCATACGCTCTCGTTCTATTATCTCATCCCCGATCCTCCAACGGAGTACGAACAGGACGGTGTGCGACCACTACCTTTCTGGTCGCTAGAAACCTGTTTAACCTAACGTCCTCACGCCGCTGGCCTCTGGCCCGAAACGGAGGAAATCCGACCGCCGGTACCGTGTCCTGCGACCGCGGGACACCCCGGAGTCACGGTCTCTAGCCCGGGAAGAGTGGGTGTGCGACCGCTACCCGCTCGACCCCTTTGGGGCACCGTCATTCTCCTCCAGACCTCCCTGGGCATGAAATGCATGGTGTGGACTGCGAGGGTCTAGGCTAAGATCCGACGAAAAAGCGTACCCTGGCGACTGACTGAGTCGGCGCTCCGACTTGCGACGGTTCTACCGAACCGACCTGACGAACGGTTACAAGGCAGCAGATCGGATTAGTGAAAACACAAAGTTTGAATGAATTATCACATTCATACACAACACAGCACTCAATTAAATAATCTGGTCACATTTTACTATTTGTGTTTGTATGTCTGCAAGAAATAGATAATAAATTTGATCGAAGTGTTGAAAAATAAATAGAACATTTTAAAAAAGTGTAGAAAAATACTGTAGTAGGATACAGCAAATCGGAAAAATTGACAAAATGTTTGTATGCGGAGTACTTACATGAAGTTTTAAAGAAGTATGTAGATTCTAATAAATTTTTATTAATCGTAGATTCGTGTAGTAATGACTGGAAGCTGGCAGTAATACCTTCGAAATGTACTCCATTAGTACAACCGTGTGATGTGTATTTAGATCGCCAAATTAAAATTTGGTATTCAAAACATTCAGCACTGTACACATGTATTAGAAAATCAGCATGAGCTATCAGTAAGAGATGATGCACTACGTATGCAC